TGCTGACTTTTTACCATATTTTAGCTATTTTACCATACACTTCCAAATATTTAGAAGTCTCATCCTTTACAATGGACTCCAAAATCTTACCCACGACCGAGGTTAGGCTAATTGGCCTGTAATTTTCCGTCTTTTGCTTTACTCCCTTTTTAAACAGGGGTGTCACGTTAGTGATTTTCCAGTCCTCTGGGACCCTCCCTGACTCTAGCGATTCCTGAAAGAGCACCACTAACAGTTCTACTATCTCTTCAGCTATCTCCTTTAGAACTGGGGTGTAGTCCATCTGGTCCAGGTGATTTATACTCCTTCAGGCAAATCCGTTTTACTAGCACCTTTTCGTTGGTGATGGCCACCATACTCAGCTCTGCCTCCTGACTCTCTTGAATTTTTGGGACATTACTCGTGTCTTCCACCGTGAAGACTGACGCAAAGTAATTATTCAGTTCCTCAGCCATTTCCTTGTTCCCCACTACCATTTCTACACCATCATTTTCCAGTGGTCCAATATCCACTTTTGCCTCTCTTTTGCCCTTTATATATCTAAAGAAATTCTTACAGTCTTCATTTATATTACTGGCTAGCTTACCCTCATATTTAATCTTCTCCCTCTATTTTTTTTTTGTTGCTCTCTGTTGGTCTTTGTAAGCTTCCTAGTCCTCTGGCTTCCCACTGCCCTTTGCTACATTATATGCTTTCTCTTTAGCTTTTATGCTATCCCTGACTTCCTTAGTCAGCCATGGTTACCTTCCATCCTCCCTGTACCATGCTTCTTTTTCCTAGGGATGAATTTTTGCTGTGTCTCCTGAATTACTCCCAGAAACTCCTGCAATTGCTGTTCCACTGTCTTTCCTGCTAGGCTCCTCGTCCAGTCAATTCTGCCCAGCTCCTCCCTCATACCTCTGTAGTCACCTTTATTCAGCTGTAATACCGTTACCTCTGATTCTATCTTCTCCCTCTCAAATTGCACAGTAAATTCTATCATATTATGATCACTGCCTCCTAAGGGTTCCTTCACCTTAAGCTCCCTTATCAAGTCTGCCTCATTGCACAACACTAAATCCAGTATTGTATGTTCCCTTGTGGGCTCCACCACGAGCTGCTCCAAAAAGCTATCTCGTAGACATACCACAAACTCCTTTCCTTGCAATCCACTACCAACATGATTTTCCCAGTCCATCTGTATATTGAAATCCCCCATGATCATTGTGACTTTGCCTTTCTTACACACCTTTTCTATCTCCTGGTGTATCTTGCACCCCAACTCCTGACTACTGTTTGCAGGGCTGTACACAACTCCAACTATGGTTTTTTCACCTTTGCAGTTCCTCAATTCTACCCACACAGATTCTACACCATCTGAGCCTACTCCGTTTCTTCCTATAGATTTAATTTCATTTCTTACTAAAAAGGCAACCGCACCCCCTCAGTCCACCTGCCTATCTTTTCGATATGATGTATGCCCTTGGATAGGTAGGTAAGAGGAGGGAGCAGGAGGTGGGAAAGGGAGGACAGTGGTTGGAATAGGGAAAGGAGGAGTATGGTTGGGACAGGAAAGGGGAGAGGACAAGAAAAGGGCGGGATTCAGGACCCAAATTCAAGACCCTAAACTATACAACTATATTGCTGGAAGTGGAACTGTAGACAAGGAGTAATTACAGGGTCAGCTGTGACTGCCATACAGTGGGGTAGTCCATTGGTATGCACAATGATAGCTTTTTGGGTGATGGGCCAATTCATGTTTCATGAATCATATCACAGTAAAAGCTGCTACTCTTCAGGAAAGGACAGAAAGCTTTAGAAAATAAACTGCCATCCGCTGTTTAGGCGCTTGCATTTCTTTTACCCTTTCTTAACGTACAGAAAGAATTACCGATGGGCCATTTTGGATACCATCAGGAAACTGCTCAAATTTTCTTCGAAATTAAGCTGCTTAGGCTACAATTCAAGCTTCGGCTAAAAACTATTTGCATAATCATAAACTTGACATCTTCTATGAAGCAGTGCAACAGGTCAACATAAAAGTACTTGTTCATTTTTTAATCTCTCACAGAAAAGTATCGTCTGCACAATCTGTCTAAATGGGCACTATTTCTCAGCTGCAAATCTGAAATAATTTGGGGAGACGGTGTAACAGTGTGTCACTGGACTAGTAACTCAGATGCGAAGGCGAAGGCTTTGGAGACTTGAGATCAAATCCCACCCCAGCAGCAAATGGAATTTAAATTTAATTAATAAATTTAGAATACAAAACTAGTTTTCAATGATGCTGAGCATAACAACCATCATAAACTGTTGACCTGTCTCACTTTTGCACTTGGGGGAAGGACATCTGCCATCCAGGCTTGGCTATATGTGACTCTAGACCCACAGTAATGTGGTGAACTTTTAACTGCCTTCTAACTTGGCCTAGCAAGCCATTCAATCAAAGGGGCAGTTAGGGATGTGTAACAAATATTGGGAGGCAAAAAGCAGGTAATTGTTGGCCAATTAGCTTAACATCTATTGTTGGAAATGTATTGGAATCAATTAATAAGGAAGTAACAGCAGTACATTTGGAAACTCATTATCTAATCAAGCAGAGTCAGCATGGCTTCATGAAAGGGAAATCATGTTTGACAAACTGATTAGAGTTTTTTGAGGAAGTGCTAACCACAGTGGATAGAGGGGAACCAGTAGATGTGTTGTATTCAGACTTTCAGAAGGCGGTTGACAAGGTACTCAGAAAATGGTGAGCATAAGATCCCACAGTGTTAGAGGTAGTGACAGGCATGGATTGAGAATTGGCTAATGCACAAGAAACAGTGGTAAGGGTTATTTTTCAGATTGGTGACCTGTGACCAACGGGGTTCCACAGGGATCAGTGCTGGGACCACACCTGTTTACAATATACATTAATGACTTGGAAGATGGAAGCGAATGTACTGTAGCGAAATTTGCAGATGACATAAAATAGGTGGAAAGGCAGTTGCGAGTGGGATACAAACAGTTTGCAGTGTGATACTAATAGGTTAAATAAGTGGGCAAAATGTTAGTAAATGGAGTATAAATGTGGGAAAATATGAAGTTGTTCATTTTGGAAGGGAGAACAAAATAACTTAAATAGCAGAAAGCTGTAATACAAAGGGACTTGTGCACGTAACACAGAAACTAACACACCGGTGCAGCAGTAACCAGGAAGGCTAATGGAATGTTGGCCCTTATTTCAAGGTGGTTGGAGTATAAGAGTAGGGAAGTACTAGTGCAACTGTACAAGGTGCTGGAGAGATCACATTTGAAGTACTGTGAGCAGTTTTGATCTCCTAATTTATTATTTCATTGGAGGCAGTTCAGAGAAGGTTCACTAAGATAAACCCTGGTGTGGAGGGATTGTCTTCTGAGCAAAGGTTAAACTTGAACTTGGAACTTAGAAGAATTAGAAGTGGTGTCATTGAAATATATTGGATTCTTAAGTAGCTTGACAGGGTAAACACTGAGAGGATGTTTCCCCTCATGGGAGAATCTACGACCAGAGGGCATTGCCTCAGAATGAAGGAGAGTCAATTTAAGAACGAGATGAAGAGGAATTTCTTCTCTGAGGGTTGCAACTCTTTGGACCTTTTTTGCCACAGAGAGCTGTTTGTCCATAGTCCACAGAATCCCTACAGTGTGGAAACAGGCCCTTCGGCCCAACAAGTCCACACCAACCCTCAGAGCATCCCACCCAGACCCAACCCCCTTTAACTCACCTAATCTAGGCATCCCTGAACACGATGGGTAATTTAGCTTGGGGCAGAGTCTTTGTGTATGCTTAAGGCTGAGATTGACAGTCTTGACCAGTCGGGGAATCAAGGGTTATGGAGAAAACACAGGAAAGTGGGCATGAGGTAAGTTGGATCAGCCATGATCCTATTGAAATACGGAGCAGGCTCAAGGGATCAAATGGCCTACTCCTGTTCATATTGCTTATGATAAGAACATAAGAACTAGGAGCAGGAATAGGCCATCTGGCCTCTCGAGCCTGCCCCGCCATTCAATAAGATAATGGCTGATCTTTTTGAGACTCAGCTCCACTTACCTGCTCGCACACCATAACCCTTAATTCCTTTACTGTTCAAAAATTTATCTGGCCTTGCCTTAAACACATTCAGCGAGGTAGCTTCAACCACTTCACTGGGCAGGGAATTCCACAGATTCACAACCCTTTGGGTGAAGAAGTTCCTCCTGACCTCAGTCCTACATCTGCTTCCCTTTATTTTGAGGCGATGCCCTCTAGTCCTAGTTTCACCTGCTAGTGGAAACAACCTCCCTGCCTCCACCTTATCTATTCCCTTCATAATCTTATATGTTTCTATAAGATCTCCCCTCATTCTTCTGAATTCCAATGAGTATAATCCTAGCCTACTCAGTCTCTCCTCATAATCCAACCCTCTCAACTCTGGAATCAACTGAGTGAATCTCCTCTGCACCCCCTCCAGTGCTAGTATAGCCCTTCTCAAGTAAGGAGACCAAAACTGCACACAGTACTCCAGGTGTGGCCTCACCAGGACCAAATACAGCTGCAGCATAGCCTCCCTGTTTTTAAACTCCATCCCTCTAGCAATGACAGACAAAATTCCATTTGCCTTTTTAATTACCTGCTGCACCTGCAATCCTACTTTTAGCGATTCATGCACAAGGACATCCAAGTCCGTCTGCACAGCAGCGTGCTGCAATTTTTATCATTTAAAACATAGTCCATTTTGCTGTTATTTCTACCAAAATGGATGACCTCACACTTATGATCTTGCTTTTTTTTTTCTTCATTGGATCGGAACATCAGTGGAAAGTGCTAGGTATAGTCAGGAGGTGTGAACATCTCTGCACACAGAGAAAAACTAACGTTTCAGGTTGATGATTTATATCAGAATTTGTGAAAATACTCTGGAGGCCAGTCAGAAATATTTCCAACATTTTCTGCTCACGGTTGTGACACTGATGGAATCAGACAATCACTTTACAGCATAAAATGGCTAATAACTCACCTGCGCCCTTGGATGCAGCCGGTGCAAAAGGATCACTATTTCCAAAGGGGTCAGCCTAAAATTTAAACAGAAAAGTAAATGAAAGTGCTGAAAGACTCCAATTTCTTCATGATCTTAAATCAAGTGTCAACATAACTACATGCATTGTTCCATGGTATTGATGACCTTAAAGTAAGCAAATATTTTAAACAATGGACACATAAAAGTAACTGCCATTAAAAAGATTGCGTAACTAAATTAATGGAGGGATTCCCAAACCTCTTTCCATCAGAGAGCCCCATTTCAAGGCCAGAAATTTGTCGTGACCTGTCAGTGTGAACTGCAAAGGCATGAGGGTGATGGATCATACCTGAGAAGGCACAACTTTAGGGCAGGGTTCAGTGGAGGTTGACTTAGAATAGGCATGAGGTGTGGAAGAGAGGGAATAAGAGAAGAGTTGGGGGAATTTTTTTGAAGCTGCAGGAGCCAGGCCACAAGTTTGAATCACTTAGACCACAACTACATTCAGAAAAGTTGAGAGCATTTAAAGCTGCATCACAGCTGTTCACTCCCTTGGGCTTCGCAGCCCCAAGATTTCAGCATGCAACCAACTCCCCAACACTGCATGTTTGACTGATTCTGAAACTTCAGCATCTACAAAGTTGTATGAAGCTCCGACATGGTGACAGGGCTGGGCCTTCTTTATCTACACTTTGTAAAGGCTGTCTACATCAGAATTTATTGCCTATCCCTACTTACTTGGCCTGGAAAAGGTGGCTGTCAGCTGCCTTCTTGAACTGCTGCAGTCCTTGGAGTGTCGGTACACCTACATGCTGTTGGGATAGAAGTTCGAGGATTTTGACCCTGCAACAGTGAAGGAATGGAACTATGGTTCCAAGTCAGGACGGTGCGTGGCTTGGAGAAGAATTTGCAAGCAGTGGTGTTCTCATGCATTTGTTGTCATTGTCCTTCCAGCTGGTTAAGGTTACAGGTTGGAAGGAACTTTTGACAGTTACTGCAGCACATCTTGTAGGTGATACATACTGTTGCTACTGTATATCAGTGTTCAAAGGAGTGAATGTTGATGATGATGGATGAGTTGCCAATTAAACAGGCTTTTGTTTTGTCCTGGATGTGTCAGGCTTCTTGACTGTTATTGGAGCTGCACTCATCCAGGCAAGAGGACAGTATTCCATCACACTTTTGAATTAGTTGATTTGGGAGGGAGGTGGCAAGTTACTCACTGCTGAATTCCTAGCCTCTGACCACAATATTTATATGGCTAGTCCAGATCAGTTTCTATGGTAACCACAAGGATACTGATAGAGTGGGAGTCAGTTTTAGTAAGGCCACTGAATGTTCAGTGGTGCCTATGTATGGTCACTGCCTGACACATGGCATGAATGTTACTTGCAACTGATTAGCCAAAGCTTGAATGTTGTCCAGGTCCTACTGCATTTTGAGGTAGACTGCTTCAGTATCTCCAAATTTCTTAATGCTGTTCAAAATTGTGCAATCAGTCAACATCCCCATTTCACATCTTATGATGGAGAAGATGAAGCAACTGATGTTTGGGCCTGGGACAGCACCCCGAAGAACCCTTGCGGTGATGTCCTGAACATGTGAATTAGGAAGATTAGGCCACTTGGCCACTCAAGCTGCTCCAACATTCGATAAGATTATGGCTGAAAGGATTACTCCACATTCCCCCCTACCCTAACATTTTCTTTAATGCAGACGTTAATCATGGAACCTTCCCTGAATTAAGGGAGTTTTGGAAAATATATAAATGATTCCCTTGCCTAACAGAAATCGAGAGCTTATCGGGAGTGGGTGGGAATGTAGATATCAGAACACAAATGATCTTACTGAATGGACAACCAGAATGAATGGGCCAAATGGTCAACTTCTCCTAATTTGTACAGTTGCATGAGGAGAGAAAACTCCATTAAATCAATGTCTAATCAGAGAAAGCACAGTACTCTAACACACACCACCACTCCGTCCCTCAAAATGGTCCCTTTTTGAATGATTAAAAACTGCTTCTGCATTTTTTTAAAGGATGGTTCAGGCATCATGTGGTATTCACTGTAGATAATGCAACTAATAGATGATGGCAGATCTGCATTTCACGGGCAGTTTCAGTAAAGTTTCCATGAAGTACATATGAAAGAGACAGTACCAACAGGATGGTCTCAATGTTTTGATGCCTAATCATGTTGATTGTTTGGACAGCTATAAAAGTAATAGCTCTAAATTTTAATTCAAACAAGTTGCTAAGTTTACAGTGCAGAGAATCAAGGATGACATCAAACAACCAAATTTATCAAGATGCAGGTCCAAATTTTGGAGTAGCAGCCCAGGACAATTCAACAGTCTTGTATAATTCAATCATCTATGGTAAATTACATGATCACATATAATAGAAACAGAAACCAACAGAAGGGGAAAAAAGGAAGTGCTTTTTGCAGATAGATCGATTTTGTAGCTTTTCCTGATTTTATTTCAGATTTTTTGGGGTCCTCTTTCTGTGCCTTTTGTATATAGTTATATTCATAGCTATACCAGGTCCTCCTCAGACTGGTGGGGCTCTGCATCTTGAGCATTTCACAATTTTTAATTTGAGGTTTTTCAGCTTACTGACACTAGTACAGATCAGACTTAAGATAACAGACATTACTTTCTCAGGTTGTCAAACAGAAGAAGAAACCAGACGAAGAGTGGGGACCAAATTCCAGATGGAATTTGATCTTAATTTCATTTTAAAATTGTTCAGAGCACATATCAACCTTGGAGGGTGACCTGATGGAGCACTCGGCAAAATTGCACAGCTTTTATTTTAGGCATATGAGCCATGGTTGTCGAGGAGAATACTGAGATACAGGCTATTAGACTAGACGGGATTGAGGTTCATAAGGAGGAGATGTTAGCAATTCTGGAAGGTGTGAAAACAGATAAGTCCCCTGGGCCGGATGGGATTTATCCTAGGATTCTCTGGGAAGCTAGAGAGGAGATTGCAGAGCCTTTGGCTTTGATCTTTATGTCGTCATTGTCTTCAGGAATAGTGCCCAAAGACTGGAGACTAGCAAATGTTGTCCCCTTGTTCAAGAAGGGGAGTAGAGACAACCCTGGTGATTATAGACCAGTGAGCCTTACTTCGGTTGTGGGTAAAGCGTTGGAAAGGATTATAAGAGATAGGATTTATAATCATCTAGAAAGGAATAATTTGATTAGGGATAGTCAACACGGTTTTGTGAAGGGTAGGTCGTGCCTCACAAACCTTATTGAGTTCTTTGAGAAGGTGACCAAACAGGTGGATGAGGGTAAAGCGGTTGATGTGGTGTATATGGATTTCAGTAAAGCGTTTGATAAGGTTCCCCATGGTAGGCTATTGCAGAAAATACGGAAGCATGGGATTGAGGGTGATTCAGCGGTTTGGATCAGAAATTGGCTAGCTGTAAGAAGACAGAGGGTGGTGGTTGATGGGAAATGTTCATCCTGGAGTTCAGTTACTAGTGGTGTACCTCAAGGATCTGTTTTGGGGCCACTGCTGTTTGTCATTTTTATAAATGACCTGGATGAGGGCGTAGAAGGATGGGTTAGTAAATTTGCAGATGACACCAAAGTCGGTGGAGTTGTGGACAGTGCGGAAGGATGTTGCAGGTTACAGAGGGACATAGATAAGCTGCTGAGCTGGGCTGAGAGATGGCAAATGGAGTTTAATGCAGAAAAGTGTGAGGTGATTCACTTTTGGAAGGAGTAACAGGAATACAGAGTACTGGGCTAATGGTAAGATTCTTGGTAGTGTGGATGAGCAGAAAGATCTCGGTGTCCATGTGCATAGATCACTGAAAGTTGCCACCCAGGTTGATAGCGTTGTTAAGAAGGCGTACGGTATGTTAGGTTTTATTGGTAGAGGGATTGAGTTTCGGAGCCATGAGGTCATGTTGCAGCTGTACAAAACTCTGGTGCGGCCGCACTTGGAGTATTGCATACAGTTCTGGTCGCCACATTATAGGAAGGATGTGGAAGCATTGGAAAGGGTGCAGAGGAGATTCACCAGGATGTTGCCTGGTATGGAGGGAAGGTCTTATGAGGAAAGGCTGAGGGACTTGAGGCTGTTTTCATTAGAGAGAAGAAGGTTAAGAGGTGACTTAATAGAGACATACAAGATGGTCAGAGGGAGCCTTTTTCCTCGGATGGTGGTGGCTAGCACAAGGGGACATAGCTTTAAATTGAGGGGTGATAGATTTAGGACAGATGTCAGAGGTAGGTTCTTTACTCAGAGAGTAGTAAGGGCGTGGAATGCCCTGCCTGCAAAAGTAGTAGACTCGCCAACTTTAAGGGTATTTAAATGGTCATTGGATAAATATATGGATGATAATGGAATAGTTTAGGTTAGATGGGCTTCAGATTGGTTTCACAGGTCGGCGCAACATCGAGGGCCGAAGGGCCTGTACTGAGCTGTAATGTTCTATGTTCTATGGTCTTGAAAGGGTTACAAACATAATTTTTTTTTGTCTTTGAGGGCAAGCGAAGATGATGACCCAAAGAAGACATCTTGGGTGATAGGGATCAGAACTGTAGGCTCAAATTTTAATGTTAAAGTTTAAAAATTGCAAAATACATTAGCCTGCAGTCAGATATCTCAATCCAAAGTTCAAACTTCAAATCAGCCAATCACATATACAATATACTTATTAAGAGCAGGATTGGGTAACTTGGGCCCTGAAGCCTGCTCTGAAATTTGATAAGATTACACTAATATTATATTTCCAAATTTGACCAAAATATCACCTCTCTCCAGAACAGTAAACATTGAAATATCTATCACTTTCAGGCATCACACAGAACCATAAATACTAATCCTAATATATGTCAGTTTACAAGATTACCATGGGCATGTGAGCAAAATACATGACACAGATGCTTAATTTAAGATGTTTATACATATAGACATTAGAAAACTACCATGTGTTATTGTACTCCTCTCACGCACTTGCACAATGGTCAGGAATTGATTGAATGCTTAATGCATCATGAGCCTTGGAAACGATAACAATTGGTTTCACCACCACAAGAGTGCGCTATTGAAGTCTTCTGTCAGCCTCTTTAATCAATGTATTTTATCAGTTCTATCATTCATTTTCTGATGAAATGACAAAATACCCAGAATTATTCACAAAACAGGTCTTTATAAAAGACAACATATCCCAAATGACTGCAGGCTGCCCTACTGAAAATCAGTCACTCAACGGAAGTGAAAATGCTGAATAGTCTAAAGGTCAGTTTAGGTTCAAAACAAATGTTGAGGTTTCAACCACTTTTACAATGAGGCTGGTTTCAGTGTAATTATGAGAAACCAACTTCTGTAATCCAAATGGATATATTGGCTTGGGAGGGAGTGCATAGATTCACTATAACAAACTCGGCCAAAAGAATTAAAATACAAGAACAGGTAAGTTTCCAATTTTCTGGTCCTAACCATCTCTTCCTTACCATGGACCTCCAAACTCTCTATACCTCCGTCTGTCATTACAATAGTATAAAGGATATTCATTTCTTCCTTGAACAGAGACCCAACCAGTTTCCATAGACCAACACCCTCGCATGACTATTTACACATTGAATAATTTCTTCTATAAACCATCTCGCTTCCTCCAAAGAAAAGATGTTGTTTTAGCAGTAACATGGGTCTGGTTGTGGGTTATGTGAAACGTTACTTGTTCCAATCCTACTGGGACCCTCGCAACCATTTTAACAGTATTTTGATATTTGCTTTGTTGTGCATCCTGGTCTCGCTCTAAATTGTAATACCTCAATTCAAATACTGACCCATCTCACAGTTTTAATGGTCCATCTTGAACTCTTCTCTTCCTTGACTGCTCTTTCTTCATTTCAGGGATAGGTTGCTTACAAGCCCACTGACTCCCACAGCTACCTCAACTACATTTCCTCACAAACTTCCACACCTCAAAGACTTCATTCCATTGTCCCTGTTCCTCCATATCTATTGCAACTGTTCTGCTGCTGTGTTCCTTAGTCGTCTTTTTTTTTCCCTCAAATGAAAAATCCCTTCACTATGGCTGTCAGGACCTTCAACTGTGTCTGCCACATTTCCCACACTGCTGCTCTCACATCCTTTCCTCTTCCCAGACTGACAATGTTCCCTTTGACCTCACTTTCCATTATATTAGCATCCATATTAGACAGATCCTTTGCTTCCAGGCTGGTTCCAGCACCAAACATATCTTTCATTACCCATCTTCATACCCCTCCATTCTCAGCATGCTGAAGGGACCATTCCTTCAGTGAAACCTTGGTCCACTCATTAATCACCCTAAAGCACTTTTCCACGCAAACACAGAAAATGTAACCCTTGCCCCTTTTGCCTTCTCTCTCCTCACCATCCAAGGCCCAAACACTCCTGCTGAAGCAGTGATTTGTATGTATTTCTTTGCGTTTGCTGTCCACAACGTGGTCTCCTCTACATGAGGAGACCAAAAGCAGATGGGGTAACCACTTTGTGGAACACCACTTCTCTGTATGCATAGGTTAAACTGAGCTTCCAGCGTTCTGTCATTATAGTTCTCCACCTTGCTCTCATGCAGACATCTCTTGCCTCAGTTTACTGCAGTGATTCTAAGAAACTCAAATACGCTTGAGAAAAGTACCTCATCTTTCAATTAGGAGCTTTGCAGACTTCTGGACTCAACACCAACAATTTCAGAAGCAAACTATTACCCATTTTGATTCTTTTCTTTGCATATTTCTGTTTTTTCCTCATTTTTGCTTCCCAACAGCAACACATCTGCTATAGGCACATCGTTTGTATCTTTTCCTATCCTATCATCTTTCTGTTTGGCTCTGTAAGACTACATCTTCTGTCAAACAACAGTCCCTGATTTCCACCCTGTAACAGGCCTTCCTCTGTCCTTCTCCCATCCACCCCTTACACAAAACCTATTACATTCTTAATGTTTCCCAGTTCTAATGAAGGATCATTGACGTGAAATGTTAATTCTGTTTCTCTTCCTTTAGGTGCTGTCCAACCTACTGAGCATTTGCAGCATTTTCTGTTTTACTATACAGGCTAGCTTTGTTTGAAAGATAATTTAATTTTGAATTTAGAATGATCAAAGGATTTAATAGGACAGCTAGAGGAACCTATTTCCTTTCAGGCAGCAGTGTACAACAACTTTAAAGTTACAGCTAAGTTATTCAAATGTGAGGTCAGTAATGACTTCTGCATCTGTAGGCTAGTGGAAATCTTCTCCAAAGGCTGCTGAAACTGGGGTCAGTTGAGACTTGCAAAGATAAGGCATATAGGTTCCTGTTTAGACAACTGCATTAAGGGATGTGGTCTTGTGTGGAATTTAGTCTTGTAGGTAAATGGATATATGGAGTTAAGATACTGATCAGCCATGATCGAATTGAATAGCAGAACTGATTTTAGTGGTTGAATAATCCCTTCTTCTTCCTATGTTGCCAATTCTGTTCCTTGTCTAGAGGGTGAAATCTGATTCTCACATTCTAGCGACAGATTCATAAGCTTAAAACCAATTAAAAAGACCAGATTTAGCAATATAAATACAGGGAGGCAACTAATGGGCACACATCTCTGAGGAAGGTAGCTTCCCCATCATATCCAGCTTTGTTTAAGAGTCAATCAGCACTTTGAAAATACACTTACTTTAGGTGGCACAGTGGGCTCTCTGCTGAAAGGGTCAGTGGATGAAGATGTGAAAGGATCGCTCTTTGGCGGTTTCTTGAAGAACTCATCAGATGATACATTATGGAAAGGATCACTTTCTTTAAATGGATCGGCACCAAATGGATCTGTACAGAAATCCAAGGTCAAAAGGAGCCAGATTTAGCACATAACTGCAGAATGTGACTTAAAAGTAAAGATGAAAAGCTGAAAACCTATAATGAGGAAACATGCATGTCTAAATTGGAAAAAAGTTATGGAGGGTGCTGGAAATCTGGAAACTTTCAGCTAGTCAGTGGAAAGAAAACCATTAAATCTTCAGAGCAGAGCTAATATAAGATCATTGATCTGAACTGTGTTCTCTCAACAAATTCTATTTGACATACACAGAAAATGCTCGAGAAACTCAGCAGGTCTTGCAGCATCTGTACAGGCAGAAATGCAGACAATTACTTTTCCCTCATACTGGACTTGAAATGATAACTCTCCTTCTCTCTCCTGAGATGCTGTCAGACCTGCTGAGTTTCTCCAGCATTGTGTTAGTTCAAGATTTCCAGCTTCTGCAGTTTTTTGTTTTTAGTCTATTTGACACGTCAACTGTTTACAGCATTTTATTTTATGTTAAGAATTATTGACCAAGCCAAGCACACTTAGACTAACTGGCTTAGTTACGCCAGTGTATCTAAAGTGCTGACATCCATTGTAGCTTCCAGAAGACAAAAATAAAGGCTGATCATTTAATTCCAATTCGAAGGCTAAAAGATTTTGAATTCTAAAGGCACCTTTCCTTCCATTATACTCGCTTTATCAGGGGCCATTTAGTGGTATCTGACTTCTCAATACAATGGCTGGGTACAGCCATAAGGCGAGATGATGTAGCGATTGAGGTAGGTCATTACGTCCGCATTGAGGTTGCTCTGCCATTCAATGGGATCATGGTTAATCTGATAATCCTCAACTTCACTTTGCCTTTACCCTATCACTCTTGATCCCTTTACTGATTAAAAACCTGTCTATCTCAGTCTTCAATACACTTAACAATCCAGCCTCTTTACCCCCCTGTACTAAAGAATTCCACAGATTCACTATTCACAGTGAAGAAATTCCTCTTAGAGATGTACAGATATACAGCACGGAAACAAGACCTTTCGGTCCAACTAGTCCATGCCAAATATAATCCCAAACTAAACTACTCACACTTGCCTGCTCCTGGCCCATATCCCTCCAAAGCTCTCCTTTTCATCTAGCTTATAAGGGCAACACCTTATTCCGAGAATACGCCCTCTGGTCCTAGACCCTCAACAAAAGGAAGTGATCTTTCTGCGTCTATCTCATCAAGTCCCCTAAGAATCTTATGTTTCAATAAGGTTGCCTCTCATTCATCTGAACTCTGACGAGTACAGGCTGTACCTACTCAACTTCCCCTCTTAAGTCAGTCACTCCATCAATGGAATCAGCTTAGTGAACCTTCTCTGCACTGCCTCCAATGCCAGAGGATCTTTCTTTGGATAATAGGCTCAAAACTGTTCACAGCATATCAGCTGTGGTTGAACCAGTGCCTTGTAATGTTTTACCAAGACTTCCCTATTTTTATACTCCATTCCCTTTGAAATAAAGGCCAACATTCCATTTGCCTTCACTATTCCCTGAACTTGGATACTAGCCTTTTGAGATTTATGCGCAGAAGTCTGAAATCCTTCTGTTCTGTAGCTTTCTGCAGTCTTTCTCTATCTTAAATAATATTCAGCTCTTGTATTCTTCCTGCCAAATTGCATAACCTCACATTTTTCTACCAGGGGCTTCCAGCTGAGAGATTCAGAACAAAAAAACTATTCAAGTAGGTGCTAATTCCAATATTTATAGAATGTGATGGGGAAGTATGTTGGGGGTGGAATTGAAAAGGGAGCATGAGCCACATGAGAAGTCAGAAAGGTAACTTCAAATGCGCATGGCAATGAAAGAACACAACAAAAGGCTGGGGATTAAAACAACCTTCTCTCAGGAGTGAGTCAATGACAGGTACTGGGGAAACAGGAGCTGAATTCTAAATATCATACCTGTTGCAGCAGCCTGTTGTTGGGCAAATGGGTCATTTTGGAATGGATCATCTGCTCAAGAAACACACAGAGCACAAATAAAACTTGGTTAAATTATTTCATTAATGTATACTGATGGTTCAGGAATATACCGTCCCCCAATTCTTCCATTTCAAAAGTGCAATCTACTTACTATCTTTGAAGGGATCAGCTCCTTTGAATGGATCTGTCTTGAAAGGATCTTCTGACTGAAATGGGTCCGTATGCAGTTCTTGAACATTATTATTGAATGGTGATGCTTTGCCTCTGAAGGGATCATCCTGAACACAAAATAAACTTCAATCTATTTCCAGCGCATAAGCTCATTGATAATCATCACATAAATATATTTGCATTCTCTATACATGAAGGCTGATTTTTATATCAAATTTAAAAAAACATGTTTTTGTACAATTTGAGTGTCTCAGGCAATTCAATCCTTCATAAAGTCTTCTCACATTTCCTTGTTTGCCATTGCCCTTTTCAAACAGCATCTCCCTTGTTATTATACATCTCTCCCAAGCAGGCTGAGGTTTCTTGGTAGGAGTAAGTCTATCAATCCTAATCAACTAGAGGAGCATAAACAGTACAATCCTCTGGGTCAGGGTGTTGGGGCAAATGACAAACATTTGCACATGACACAAAAAGTAACTAACATGGTTATTTGTCAAAATGTTTCCAAATGACTGTAGGAGTAAATGGGGTGCAGGAGCAGAGAGGTTTGAGCATATGGATGTCAGATGAAAATTAATGTGAGGTGGCACAGTTTAAATTTTAGACATAAGAGTTATAAAATATAAAAGCAAACAGGAACAAAGTTGTAAAAGGTTTCAGATTAGGCTATGGTTAGAATAGTGTTTAGATATAGGCATATTACTTCAGAAAGCTTGTCGAGGCCATGAAAATAGGAATGCAGTAGAGATCTTGCACGATGATCACAGAGATGAGAAGCTTTATTTTACAGGAGGGACTAAAGAAACTGGGATTTTCTTCTCTAAAACAAAGAGAAGATCATGAAGAGGGACTCGAATTCTGAAGTTTTGATGAGGTAACTGGTTAATGAGTCTGCAACAAAAAGCATTCATTTAATATTAAGACAAAAACTCAAAGGGAAGGGTTGGGAGGAATGCCTTTTATGAAAACATCCAAGCATTGTTTGGGCATAGAAAGTTCTATGAGAAACAGTGGAGGAGCAAAACCAATAACGCATCCACCTTATTAAAAGTTTTATGGTTGGACACAACTTCCTGTTTGTAAAACGTTACTGTCTTATTTTATGATTCCGTGAGATTTATGTCATTCCTTTCTGAACCTTTATGATGAAAACAGATTGCATTAATTTGTCACACTGCGGAAGATATCCTGCTAGGGGTTTTATCACCTCAGTCTTACACTGCTAGATCACAATTCTTGTGCAGCAAGTTGACTTTATTTGCTGTAAGTTTCCCTTATTTGACCATAAACAACATCACAGTATTATAAGGATAGAACGTATGATTATCATGGACATAAACATTTATATAATAGTTATCTGTGCTTAATTAAGAATCTTAACAGCACCACATGGGTCCAAATATCTCTCACTTTCTTACCTTACACAATGAAGATAAAACTCAAGGTGATTGGCTAGTTGGAGATTGGCTAGAAACATTCAAGGGTTAAATATTTGAAAAAGAACCAGAAGGCTACAGGAAAAGACAGGTGAATGAGACCCAAATAAATCTCCCCTTCATACAGGCTTCATAGATATGATGGGCCTCATGGTCTCCATCAATGTTGTTAAATTTTATGATTGATCAGTGCAGATTCGATGGGCTGAATGGCCTCTTTCCACACTGTAGGGATTCTACAATTCTATTACTACTGCTCTAATACTAACAATGAGAAAAGATAGGTGGAATACTTGCTTGCTGAAATAGAAATAGTAATCAATGCAAGCAGACAGAATCATTTGAAATAGATATAGTGGAGTTCTTTTGGTCAAAGGGCGAGCAACAATCTGCTTTCACTGGCCTGTTCCTTTGTAAGAATTTTCTGTCGGTGGTGAGAGGGCGATAAGGAAGAGAGAAAAGGACTGAATAAAATCTCTGAAATGACTCTACTGTGAGTCTCCCTACCCACCATTGTTGCAAAGCCACTGTCTCTCTCTGCAAGGCCATCGCTCATGTCTGCCAGGTTAGTCATGCTCCCACCATGATCAGTTAACGAGCCATTCAACGCACTGCTGTACTGGTCAATGTTTTTACTAACTTCCTGCTGTGAGTCTTGTAATTGGGAAAGTTTACTTCTTGCCTAGAGATATGAGAGCATAAGGGATCACATTAGTAACTTGGCATTAGGCACTTAATGCAAATAAAACATTTAAATTAGAAACAAAAGACATATTTCTATGGCATTTTTTATTACCACATGCTTTCTCAAATTGTTTACAGTCAATGAAGTACTTTTGAAGTGCAGTCACTGCTATAGTGTAAGGACTGCAGCAGCCAATTTGTACACAGCAAACTCTCACAAACTGCAGTGTGATAATGACCAGATAATCTGTTTGATTTCTAATGAGAGATAAACACTGTCCAGAACACCAGAATAACTTCCCCACACTCATTTGAAATAGTGGCGTGGCACTTCCAACTGTACAGCACTCCCTCAGTGTGGCACTTGAGTGTCAACCTGGCCTTTTGTGCTCAAGCCTGCAATGGAAATTGAACCCAGAACCTTGTGACGGCAAGTCAAGAATGGTACCCACTGAACCATAACTGACAGAGTAGATACAAAGATAGTTCAAAAGACCATAGCTGTCCTCTACGCTTGGCAGGAGTAGTTCAGAAGACAGTAGGAAATGGCAACTAATCTACACCCTTTTAATCCTTAAAGTTTCAGAAAGTGAATGACATCACTTACCATTGTGGAGAACAGATGCCAATGCAATGTAACAGAATTAATTGTAGACTTTACTGCCATATTACCTGCCTTTACATGTAAACGACTAAAAATGTGAAACAAAATAATATCACTAAACATGACAAAAGCACTAATGCTAGGCAAATAAGTGAAGCTATTCTGCCTCCAAGTGGCCAGTTTGCATTACTGCACATTTGAAGACTGCCAGTTAACAATTGGGCTGTCTATAAACAGTGCATAACACTGAAACTGCAACCTCTCATTTGCGAATAACTTTATTTCTTGGGATCTATAATACTTACAAATGAGATCACAATAGACCCTCAGACAACCATCTGCTGAAGAAAACAGCACAGAAAATCTCAACAAGCTAATAAGATTTTTAAAATCAGCACAGAAAGATACAAGGTTTGCAAAATGTGGAATTTTATTTTTCATTTTGCTTCAATGTGTCTCTGTTCGTCCCTCAGAATTTTTAAAAATTCATTCCATTACTTCTTTTCAATGTATTTCCACATCTTGCATTCCTTTTTACCACACACCAGCTTCCGCACACATCTCCCTTCTTACTGCTGCTTCACCCATTCCGCACTCAATTCTCTAACTACCAGAGACACTCATCTGCATCCCACACACTACAGCGACCTCGCTGATCTGTTCCTTTGGCATTATGGAATAATTCAGCCCATAAAAACATTATTTTCACAACTCAAATGCTTTGCAGAAAGAAAATAAACGATGGTCTAAAGCAAACAGCGCAGAGCTCCAATTGCATAATTTGTCTAGCTGCTTGCACTCTCTGTTTTGCTAACTGTGTGTTAAAGCTGCTAGGTTCACTTCTTGATTGTATAAGAGCAGAACAACATTTATTTAGTGACTCTGACATAGAGAATTCTTTAAGCACTTCAGAGAGGGAGGCATAAAGCACAAGATAAAAGGGGATAAAAGAGGTACAGCCAGAGAGAGAGCCAAAAGTTGGGCTTTGGAGATTCTACTAAAAGAAAGTGGGCGGTTGGGGGAGCAGGAGATAGATCCTGAGGTGGATACAGTGGGTCAATGAAGATCTGAAAGCATAAGATGATTGAAGAGCAGTTTGGATATATTTTTTCCTTAAAAAGCCAGAATTAAAAATCTAATTATGTCCATGTAGCCATTGTTAATTGAAGTAAAAACCCAACTGGTTCACTAATGTTCTTCAGGGAAGGAGACTGTCATCCTGGCCTACATGTGATTCCAGACTGCCCTCTGAAGTGGCCTAAAAAGCACGGAGTCGGATCAACACTAGAAATTGAGAAAAGGAATGAAACCAGGCAGACCACCTGGTATTAAGTAAGGCACCAGAAACAGTAACGGCAAACACAGCCCTGTTGACCATGCAAAGTCCTCCCTACTAACATCTGGGGGCCACTGCCAAAATTGGGAGGGCTATCTCACAGACTAATCAAACAACAGACTGATATAATTATACTCATGGAATTATGCCACACACAATGTCCCAGGCAGAACCATCACCGTCCCTGATTATATCCTGTCCCAAAGAGGTCTACAGTCAGGAAGCAGTTGCCTATGAGTCCATACCATTGATGCAGAACCATAAAGTCTCATGGCACCAGGTCGAGCATAGGCGAGGAAATCTCCTGCTGATTACCACATAAGGAACGCTCCACTCAGCTGATGAATCAGTACTCTTCTGTTGTGAACACCAATTAGAGGAAGCATTGAGGGTGGCAAAGGCACAGAATGTATATGGATGAAGGATTTTGAATGTCCACCACCAAGAGTGGCTCAGCAGCATCACTACTAACCAAGCTGGCTGAGTTCTAATGGTCATAGCTGCTATAAGACAATAAGACCATAAGACACAGGAGCAGAAATTAGGCCATTCAGCCCATCGAGTCTGCTCCGCCATTCAATCATGGCTGATAAGTTCCTCAACTCCATTCTCCTGCTTTCTCCCCGTAACCCTTGATTCCCTTGATAATCAAGAACATATCTATCTCAGTCTTAAATGTACTCAATGACCTGGCCTCCACAGCCTTCTGTGGCAGTGAATTCCATAGATTCACCACTCTCTGGCTGACTAAGTTTCTCCTTATCTCAGTTCTAAAAGGTGTTCCCTTTACTCTAAGGCTGTGCCCTTAGGTCCTAGACTTTCCTACCAATGAAAGTGTCTTCCCAACATCCACTCTGTCCAGGCCATTCAGTATTCTGTCAGTTTCAATTAGATCCCCCCTCATCCTTCTAAACTCCAATGGGTATAGTCCCAGAATCCTCAAACGTTCTTCATATGTTAAGCTTTCCATTACTGGGACCATCCTCATGAACCTCCTGTAAACCCGCTCCAGGGCCAGTACATCCTTCCTGAGATATGGGGCCCAAAACTGCACACAATATTCCAAATGTGGCCTGACCAGCGCCTTATAAAGCCTCAGAAGTACATCCCTGCTTTTATATTCAAGTCCTCTCAAAATAAATGCCAACATTGCATTTGCCTTCCTGAATACTGCAAATTTACCTTGAGAGAAACCTGGACTAGAACTCCCAAGTCTCTTTGCACTTCAGACTTCTGAATTTTCTCCCCATTTAGAAAATACTCCATGCTTTTGTTCTTCTTACCAAAGTGCATGGCCTCACACTTTTCCAAGTTGTACTCCATCTGCCACTTCTATGCCCACTCTCCTAACCTGTCCAAATCCTTCTGCAGCCTCGCCACCTCCTCAATACTACCTATCCCTCCATCTATCTTTGTATCGTCTGCTAGACTGGGTCTGCGGCAGGTGGTGAAGGAACCAAGAGGAAAAAACATACTTGACCTTGTCCTCACCAAAGTGCCTGCCACAGATGCATCTGTCCATGACTGTATTGGTAAAAGTGACCACCAAATAGACCTTGTGAAAATGAAGCCCCATCCTCACACGGAGAATATCCACCTTCATAGTGTATGTCACTATCTCTGCACCAAATGAGACAACTGCGGACAAATCAAGCAACTCAAGACTGGGCATCTATGTGGTACTATGGGCCAGCAGCAGAGCCAAATTATATTCCAATCATATTAGCAATCTCATGGACCAACATATACTCCATTCTATCACCACCATCAAGGAAAAGGATCAAACCTGGCTCAATGAAGAATGCAGGAGGACATGCCAGGCAGCACTAGGCTTACCTAAAAATGAGATGTCAAGCTGTTTAAGCTATGAAACAGGACTACTTGTACATCAAGCAGCATTAGCAGCAAATGATACATACAGTGCTAAGTGATTCTACAACTAACAGATCAGATCTACACTCTGCAGTCCTGTCATGAGACAAGATCCATTCAAATTGATTAAGGAAAAGTTCTTAAGACAAAAAGATGAATCTTCAACGTTGTATTACATATGTGTTTCTAAAGAAATTCAAAGGAGCATTGAAAGTATAACAAGAGCATTTGAAAACTTCAGAACCAAAAATGAAAGAATGAACAAACCTCATATGATGACAACATTTTACACAGGAGACAAAGTATTGGTATTATTGCCTTTGCAGAGTTTGCCTGTGAAAGCAAAACTGAGCGGTCCATATAAAGCTGTTGGGAGGGTTAGTAAAGTGACTTATCTGATAAATACTCCTGATCATAGGAAGAAAACTTGGGTATGGCACATAAACGTGTTGAAGCAATATCATCGCAGGGAAGAAGATCAGGAGCAGCAAGCATGTCAGCAGTAAATGCAGGAAGGATGTTCCCAATGACTAGGGAGTCCAGAATCAGGGGTCACAGTCTAAAGATATGCAATAGGCCATTTAGGACTGAGATGAGAAGAAATTTCCTCACACAGAGAATGGTGTGCTAAGGAATTCTTTGCCACAGAAAGTGGTTAAGGCAAAAACATTGAATGTTTTCAAGAAAGAGATAGACATAGCTGGGGCTAAAGGAATGAAAGGGTATGGGATGAAAGCAGAAATAGGAGTACTGAGCAGGATAATTTGCTGTGATCATTCTGAATTGCACAGCAAGCTCAAAGGGCTGAATAGCCTCTTCCTGGTCCCACTTACTATGATTCTAAATCCAGTCATGAATGGTGGTGGACTCTTAAACAACTCACTGGAGGAGGCAGCACCGCAAATGTCTCCATCTCAATGATGGGGGAGTCTGGTATATCAGTGCAAAAGATAAGGCCGAAGCACTTGCAACAATCTTCAACCAGAAGGATTAAGTGGTTGATCAATCTCAGTCTCAACCAGAGATCTTCTGCATTACAAATGCCAGTCTTCAGTCAATTCACTTCACGTGAAACTGAGACACATCTGGAGGTACTGGATATTGCAAACGCCATGTGTCCTTACAATATTTCAGCAATAGCACTGCAGACTTGCACTCCAGAACTTGCCTCAGTCCTAGCCAAGCTGTTCCAGCACAGGTACAACACTAGCACCTATCCAACAATGTGGAAAATTGTGAAGTATTTCTTGTCCACTAAAAGCAAGTCAATTCCAACTCAGTCAATTATCACTCCATCAGTCCAATCACGGTCAGTAAAATGACAGAAGATGTCATTAACAGTGCGATCAAACAGCTTAGCAATAACCTGCCCACAGATGCTCAATCTGAATTCCACAAGAGGGCACTCAGTTCCTGACCTCATTACAGCCTTAGTTCAAACATGGACAAGAGAGCTGAATTCCAAGGGTGATGTGAGAGTGACAGCCCTTGACATCAAGGCTGCATTTGACTGAGTGTGGTATCAAGGAGTTTAGCAAAACTGGAGTCAGTGGGAATCAGGGGAAAACTCTGCTGATTAGAGCCATGCCTGGCGCAAAGGAAGATGGTAGTGGTTGTTGAAGGTCAGTCATCTCAGCTCTAGGCTATCTCTACTGGGCAGTCTTCAGGGGAATGTACTTGGCTCTGCCGTCTTCAGTTCTGAACAGTCTTGTCAGACACAAACCATTATTGCTGTTTCTCTCTCCAAAGATGCTGCAAGACCAAAGTTTTGCCAGAAATTTCTGTTTTTTGTTTCATAATTAACCTCCACTTTATTGACTTACTATCAGGTCGGTTTTCCTAAGTTTTATAATCTACTGTATTTTTCAAAGCAGGATCCTACTGGTTATCTGGTCTAGAATAACAACATATTCACATATATTGTTTTATGTAGAAATGTAAGCTGTTCAGTGATGGACAATAGAATCCCAGAAGAATGGCCACTTAGTGATTCATCAACTGACACACACACATTAAGTCTTCAAAAGCCAATAAAACTCAGCAATGGGAAAATGCAGACAGCAATCAGAAACAGCAGCCACAAAACCACAGGTTGGCTATCACTCTTCTTCCAAGATGAGTATATTAAACAAAAAGACCTCTATGTCAAATCATTGAATTGATGGTGAAGTTACTCCACAAGGGTAATCCATACACAAAGCAAGGTTATGGAAATGATGTGGAAATGAAAGGGAAAGAAAGCAGTTTCTCTTGCCTCCACCAATTTGGTAGTCTGAAGTAGAATCAATGGCTCTTTCCAAAATGCATTTCTTCTGTAGATTTACGGAGACTTCTTGATCTCTTTACCCTGCTTTTGAAAAACTTACTTGAGACTGTGGGAGATGCAGAAAATCTGAAGTAATGGGAATGCAACAGACATACACAGTTCTCACCTGATTAATTTCATCCTGAGTAGATTTTAGTGATTTGATGATTGTCTCAAGTTGCACCTTGCCAGCCTCAATGCTCTGTTCTAATTGTGATTCCTCTTGCTGCAGTTTATTTAGCTCGGTTTTGGCTTTGTTTAGCTCCTCTTCCTGGGACTGCATATCTGACTCCTGATTTGCAATCTGTGTCTTCAGCGATGAAATCTGTTCCACACAAAGTCAATATGATTAAATCACGTAACACCAGCCAGATGACAATTACCAATAAATCCTGAGAAAATACAGAAGACGAGGCAACATTTATAATAGCCTTCAACTATCTCATTGTATCTGTGGCTTAGTCACATCACATGTAATACTTATTGGCTTCAAAAAGCAGCACTATTTTCTGGACAATGGAAGCTGCAGTTACAATATGAAAATTGAAGCTTAAGTAACAATGATTCGACCCCATGAGTTAGTCATTAAAAACACCTTGAACTCAACATCAGCTAAGACAAGCTTACTAGATTAAAAAAAAAGCACAAGATGACAGCTCTGCACAGCAAAAGATATCTACAATGGTTAAAAAGATACAAAATATTCAACAATTTTAACTATTAATGGGATACATACACACTCACACACACGCTTCTAGATTTCCAATGGCATTTCTCCTGACAAATCTGATAATATAGTTGTTTTGAATTAGTTATACAAAATCTGTCTAGAGGTCAAATGTGCCTTTATTTCACGGAAATCAAATTTGTGCTGAAACTTATGTGACTGTGCTCAGCAATTCTACCATTTCTTCATACAACTCATACATCAATAATGCTCATCAAATGCAACAGAGGACAACCTAGGAGAAAAACTGATCAACAACTACATAATGGCGACCAATCTGCTTTGGGATGTACAATGTCAAGGTTGGGGATGAATTTCAAGACAAAGACTCAATGAACAATCCACGTGTTGAAGGGTAGTGATACAGAGGCATGCAATTAAAACAGAATGCTAACATATGCCATTTAGATAGACATGAACAGACAGGGTACAGAGGGATATGGACCTCGTACAGGCAGATGGGATTAGTTTAGAATGACAACATAGTCTGTACAGACATGATAGGTCAAAGGGCCTGTTCCTGTGTTGTACTATTCTATATTCAAACATTTGGTCAGCCTCTCGGCCCTGGGCCTGAGTCACTGTATCTCAGCTCTCACCTTCCCTGAAGTTAAAACAAACATTCTTATTGTTAAAACTTATCTTCAAAGGGTTTTAATGTCCTTGTTGCCACTTACTGTGAAATTATTTGAAACAGTAAACATAGATTATTGTTACAGCTTGAAAAGACAAATTGCAGGGATTGCTCAAAAGGATCATAGTGATCCATGCCAGGAAATTCTTCACAGGCTTAAACTGTGTCATGCTGCAAACATAAGTGCAGTGATAACTCTCTTAAACTGAGCATGAATGAGTTAAAACAAAGACCTGGATTCTATGTTAGCAATGATTGCAAAACTGTTAGTATTTACTTTTATTTTCCTCTAGAACTGATAGCAACTTGCTGGTTGACTCTGCACAGATGCAATTAAACATGGCAATCCAGAAGTTGTGGTCAGTGATTCTATGTTTCTCCCTAGGTTGCACTACTGAAGAATGCCAGATTTCAAACAATTAGAAATCAGTGACATAACGAGAACAACTTCTTTTACACTATTAGTCTTGTGCTAGAGTTTGAAAATGTTGCATGTTATTGAAGGGGATTTTTTTAAAATTGACACACGAAGTTCATAATCACTGCTGAAAATCCTTACCTTGAGAAAATAAGTTTAAAAAAAAAATTTAAAAACACCACATTATCAAAGATGTCCAAATCATTTATTTTGTTCTTTGTAAAACTTAATTAAAAAGTAAAGAGTAATTACTGTATTTTACTTTCTAGTTTACATTTTGTGAATATATTTCTGTACCATTGTCTGCTTGTTCTAGTTAATGGCATTACTCTTGTTTGAATGCTTGAAGACCCCCTTGATTTGATACCACTTGGAAATCCACACCTGAGAGATAGCTTCTCAGAAAGATCTAACATTTTTTGAGGTCATCAATGAGAGCTGTCATTGGTGGCAAAATCCAAGTGAAAAACTTCGACACTATTTTAAAGCAAGAAAAAGTTCATTTGTATATATGTAAGAATTGAGTTCTGATTTGTTTGGGTCTTTCAAAAGGATTTCAGTGTTTTTTCCACTTAAATTTTATGGTTGTGAAAATTTCATAAACATGAAATTCAAGTCAACTAGAGTATAATGCCAGAAATGATAAGCAGAGAGACATCGTACATATTAAAAAGTGGATCATCTGTGGAGCTACTCATGGAAAAGTTTATAAGGGGGGAGCCAGAATTATGTGCTGATGAAGAAATAAATCAATGACGGATTTTTTTTGATTGGGCGCATGAGCAGAGCAGCAGCACTTATGGAGTATTAAGCAGCAAGCAATTGAAAACAGTCTTTATTCAATAGACACAGCCTGATAAGCGAAATAAGGCAGATGGAAGTAACTTGGAATTTAAAAAAAATCAAATCAACAAAAATAAAGCCATGAATTTTACACCAGTTCAAGAGGCAGCATTTTTCTGGCTGCTTTAGGATATGACATCTGAGTTAAAAAGCACAAGAGTTTTAAGATATTTTATATGCTAGAAGATCTCCCAGTGTGTTGTTCATGTTAAGTCAGACAATCGCACTTTATTAGAACAGAAACACTACCAAATGTGACGGACAACACATCGTCCTGCTCTTAAAATTAATGCAAGAGTTCAAAAGTCACAGAATATACGAAAAATAGAAGTAGGCCATGCAGCATCTCTCACGTGCTCCAATCATGGTGGAAACTCCACATCAATGCCAATTTCTTGCCTAATACCAACATTCCTTGATTCACGTAGTAACCGAAAATCTGTTGATTTTAGTCTCAATATTCTCAAAGTAAGCATTTATAACTCTGAGATGGAGGGCTGAATGTTTTTGGATTCTCTGAATGAAGAAATTCCTTACCTCAGTTCTAAATGACCAATGCCTTATCTTGATATTACTGTCTCTCCATGTAAACTGTCCAAAGGAAATAGCCTACATGCGTGCATCCTCGCGAGCCCTTTAAGAATTTTATATTTCCAATTACACCACTTCTTATTCTTCTGAACTCCAGCGTTTGTATACCATTCAAAGTCAATATAAACTCAATACCCTTTTTATAAAACAATCCCATCATCCCAAGAATCAGTCATTGCCTCTTCCTCTAAAACAAGTAAAAGAAGTGCATCCTTTTTTAGATAAGGAGATGAAAACTATACACTATACTCTAAGTGTGGTCTCAACAGAACTCTATCAAGGTGCAGTAAAAATTCCCTACTCCTACTTGCAGCTTCCATTGCCAGGCAGCATTTGATGCCTTAGTAGGGGTGTTGATGAGAAAATTACGTCTGTAACACTGAAGGAGACGTATGTTATTGAGCTGAGCAAGTCTGGCACTGGATTACAGCAGAAACAGGTAACTATATGCAGCTCAAGACAACAATTACACTATTGCAAGGCTTCCCAAACAGAATGTTGTGACTCCCAGTCAGGCTATAAGATGATGTGGTGGTGGTGTGGATCCCCAAGGCAGCAAACCTGCATGGAGCTTGGATTGAGGCCCTTGCTCTTTTTCCCTGTTGGTGGATTGTAAATAAATAGCCTCTGAAAAGGCAGTTTTATTTTATTTAACTGCAATTTAAATACTTCCTGCAAGCTCAACTTTATTTCCCTCTCCAACTAATCAGCAGCTGAAGGCACCACAAACCCCACCACGCTCAGTAGGTAAAGACAAGTCCACAAACCCCCTCATCCCCATCATTTAACAACTTTATTCTGCACCCCAAATTGTCAACGCAAAGTTCAGCTTTAGAAGAGAGTCACAAAAGTTTGGCTATCACGGAACTATTGTACAGACCAACTAACACTCCAAACGCAGTGGATCTCCATGAGAATAAGGGACAGGAAGTTGATAAATGAATAAGATGAGAGCCAACAGTTAAAATCAATCACAAAGGGAAATCAGCCATCTGTCTCCAATTGCATATGCTTATTAACAGCTGGGTTTTGCTATACTTTTATTTTCCAAGGAAAGCTTATTCCAACTCTTAGTCTCCTCGTTCCAATGTATTGAACACAAAACATAAAATGTCAAGTGGAATACTGTCTGTTAGAACACCCATGACTGACCTCTGGGAATTCAGATCAGATTGGGCTTAATGTTGCAGAGGTGAACAGAACTCAAATGATTTGAGTCTGGATCTGGTTCAAGTGGGCATGAGTACACACCAAATAACTACACCACCATCTGGTTGTGAAATTAGTCAATCCCTTACAGTGGACATTGCTTTGTGACAGAAGGGATATACATTCTTCTCAGGTTATTTGTAAAGGCAGAAAGTTAGCCAAAAATGAGTTTCACCCTCTGTCTCATTCTGTCTGAGTATGTTTGGCACTGTCCTTAAATAGCAACTTTTGAAAATATCAGCTCTAAGGTTCTTCAAACAAAATTTACAATGAAAAAAAGATGAGTAAGAATTCTGTACACCGTAACATAACACATCAGTCCATAACATTCCAATTCAACCAGAAACTTTGATTATACTCTACCATCTTGCAATGGTTAATATAAAGAAAATGTTCAACACTACAGGGAAAATTCTTCAAACAAGCTGAAATATGTGCACATATTTTTTGGAATCATGTGAAAAAAATGCAATACTCCAAAGGTTTATCTGGGAACATAGCCACAGCACTGAGAGTTAATGGCTGACATTTAGAAAAAAACATTTGTGTGAGGGAGTGGTCTGCCTCGTGGGGAAAGACAAACTGGCTGACGGCAGGCGCTCAACAGCACTGATGGTGGCCGTGCAGAAATCAGTGGTGACCTGGACCACCCTACCCCATCCTTTCAGCTCACACAAGCTGCCTATGAAGCCAGAGACCACATGGGAATGATACTGTGAAAGCAAATTACAAACCTGATGATTTATTGGAACATTATTCCTGGCATGCTCAGTGATAACGTGCAGCCGTATTGAACTGGAAGGAAGGATGCAGGGGCAAGATGTTTTCTGCAGTGTATGGTAATTCTATACAACTGAACAGCTGGTTGGAAGGATTACTTTGCTGTAACACTCTCAAGGGATTCAGACAATAACATAAACCACACAACTGGACCTTGAGCAGCTTACACAGTCATTGGAACCAGACTCATGATGCAAGCTGATAACTCCCAAACAATTTTTTTCTTTCCATTCTTATTTTCTCATCTCCCATCTTAAAACCATTTGACCTCTGTCAGAATAAAATTCCAGAATCTCCAACAGAATCTCATCCAAGTCGTCATTCTTCAACAATGAACCTGGGCAAATTTGATCAATGACCTAATTGACAGTGATTGGGAAGCACTGGGAAAGATTAAATTGAACTTGATGACGCAAAAGAATGCAGATTCACACTTTCAAGTAGCAGGCCCCATATATTCATTGGGAATGACTGAATGATTTTTCCTGATCAGAAATCATATTGGGGTCAGCAAATTCTGTCCCTGTTGATGTGAGCAAATTCGGCACAAAGTAGGAATTGGGCCTGCAAGTTCCTCATCCAAACTGGCGAGATCACATTAGCTTTGAACAGATAGCACCGCCTTTAGCCTTATTCCTAATTTTCAGTAGCAACTTATTTAAATTGTTATGTTTGCTCGGCCATTCTATGTCATAGTCCAAAGATATGCAGGCTAGGGGGATTGGCCATGCTAAATTACTTGTAGTGTCCAGCAATGTGCAGACTAGGTGGATTAGCCATGGGAAATGAGGGGCTCTTTGGAGGGTCGGTGTGGATTCGATCTGCCGAATGGCCTGAATCCCCACTGTAGGAATTATATGACTCAATATGAGAGGAATAGAAGATTTCTTCTTTACTGTTTTTAATACAACAGCTTTGGATTGTAACAGTTGCTCAATTGCAAGGATTTTAATGAAAAAGCTTTCACAAAGTTTATCATAAACTATCAGTAACAACAATAATGTGCTTCCTAAAAAGAACTGTAAATAGGAAATCATAAAACAAAATACTAGCAACAGAGAAAACTTTGTGTTGAAAAGATGACCAAATTCAAAAGGGTAACAAATTCAAGGTTGCAATTTCCACTTGGGGGCCAAGTGACTATAACGAACACTGATCCATTCAACAAATTCCCAACCACCTAGTATGCTGTTTATAAAAATAGATCAACCACTGATTTTCAGAACGATCATGTGTATTTACAGCCACAGTATATTCTTGTAGCAGTTGCAACTAAAGCCAATAATTTGATACTGTGCTGAACTATGGACATTTTTACAGTATGTATCAACCCAAATTGATGCATAATCCTTCTCTCAATTTTTATATCCCTACTTTTTTTAAACCTTCGAGTCTCTAACAGTTATCTTTTTCCTGTTAATCTGCAAATACTGGTCCTCCACGCTCTTCATCCACCTTGCATCTTCACTATATCAAAACTAAATCCCAACATACTGCTTCCTCCAACAATTCATTCTCCTTCCAGCTTCAAAATTCAATCAATTGACATGATTGTGAAGTTTTTAGAAAATGGTTACAATGTTTAAAAATCAATATTAGCTTTAAATTTATAAGTAAAGGTGCCTACAAACATATTGATTAGATGCAAGTCCTTGTTATAGTCACCTGCTTGTCAAGCATGAGTTAGAGCCCTGAATTTGTGACCATACTTTACTCTCCAATAAACTTGAGTGCTCTCCCTTTCTACAGAATGCTCAAAATTATCTGTCCCAAAAGACCCATTATTCTTTTTCTGCATTTTTTTTCCCATTATTGTCCTGATCTCTTATTATCAGCATCACATTAAAGTAAGCAGAAAAAGTAACAACAACCCTTGCAGCTTCCAGACAATGGAGACTTTTAAGCCACCTATACAAATGATTCAAGTGCAGACCCCAAACGACAACTTGTTGAAAGAACCACACATTTTAAATATTAAACCATCATTTGTTGCTCATTCTACACTCTTAAAAATTTCACTTGACAGCATGTTTGTGAAAGAACCTGGTATTAAAAATGTCTCTCAAATCAAGTGCTTACAGTCTCCAGGTTTCCCCTGTTCTTACCGTCTGGTTCTCCTCCTGACACTTCTGCCGGATGTCACTGAGCATGTCTTCAAGCTTGGCCTTTTGTTGGTCCATTTCATCCAGCCTGTCCTGGGCAGCCTGCTTCTGGGACTCCAGCTCCTGCAGGTTATTATTCTCTCTGTCCAGGTCATTTTGTAGTTCCTGCCAACACGCAGAGAATCAACTCTTGATAATACGCTTATCCCCAAAAACAGAGAGAATCTTTGGTAACACAATCATCTCTAACTATAGAATGCTCAGCCTCAGACTTAAAAAGACTGCTTTAGAAATACAAATCATAATTTATTTTAACTCCAGACAGGAAATTTCAATTATAAATAGAGCAATCCAAGTAAATAAATCATATTCTAATACCTATCAATTCATGGAATATTTCAGGGAAGGCCTCATTGGCTTTATTCAATGAGTGATTTTAAATACAAGCATTGCACATTATAAGAAAGTACACAATACACTTCAAGCATGAACACATTACGTCATTTCTACTAGTGATCAGAATTGCCTTATTCCCCATTTCAGAAAAACTCCAAGTGAAGCTGGTCAAGGTTTACCAGCCTCCTCTCAGCCTGATTAACGTGTCATCAAGATATAAAAGGTCAGGCTAAGATTTATTTTCCTCTCTCTCACTCACTCCCCCAACCATCCACCCACTCAACTATCCCTATGGTGCAACCACCAATAAAATGCTTCCCAGGGTATGAGGGAGACCATTTGGGACAATCTGCATATTTCACGCTTTGAGCACACAATTGAATCCAATAGCACATCTGGTGCTTCAACCTTCTGCACTTAGACCACCCTCTCTGCTCTTTCCAGCTTTATATTAGTCTATTACCATTTTTGTAAAAATCCCAGCTTCAGCTGAACTCGGACTAGAAATCAGGTTTAAAACGAACTGACGAGATGATCTGTTTCTGGCTATGCTAATATTGGTCAGGACACCAGGGAACTATTGCTTTCTTTTTTCACCTTTTACTGTCCACTTGAAAAGTTCACAAGTTAAAAAGAAAAGAACCACATTCCAGGGAAACATAAGCTCAGGGACATAGGCCCATTTGGATTTTAGATTACCTCAGGTTAGTACTATTTTGCTTGTCTGTAAAAGAGCCCCAGAATTTGTAGACAGCCTGGCATGGTCAATAGCACATCTGCATCAGAAGCTCGTGTATATTCACGCAGCACTACAAACTTTGGCATGCAATATAAACTAAAACTTTAGGACTGAAGAAGTACAAGACATGTAAAATATAATTGACTTTAAAATACCTCACAGCATTATTTGAGAAGAAGGAGACCTCTGATGTCCTGACCAACACTCAGAATCCACTGACAGGATTAAAACAAACCAACTACTAGAACATCCAGCCCTTCAAAAGATCGTCAACAGGTTATAGCTCAATTTTCTCTAATCTACAGGACAGAATTACAGCAAGTTCAGTATTTACTGACAGGTATAACCTCTCAGCTCAGATATTAACCTTTCAAAATCATTCAGCACCTGCTTGCAATAGAGTTCAGAATTGCAAATAGCACTCCAAAGGTAGCTCAAACAAGATTTTAGGTTACGTTTAAAATAATTTCTGTTTTTCTGTTCGTCTAGAGATGAGCCCCACTGCTTCGTTTGCCTTTTATGACTTTGTTTTCCCATTGTTGTGAATCTATACCCCCTTGATCCATTCGTTCCTCTAGCTTATGTAAACTCTTGTTTTCCAAGTAGTTGGCCTTTCACTCCTTCTACCTGACGTGCTTACAGTGAAAAGTGTATGAACAATTAATTACTGACAGTCTCAAATGAGATAAATTTTAGTAGATACAAATTGCAGAAGCCCACTATCTTTGGGATTGAATTCTTGCATGACTTTGTCACAGGATTAAAGTCACTTTATTGTGGGTGCATATCCACTTCACAAAACTCAGGAACAACCAATTGGGTAAAGTCATCAGGGAAACCAAGAATCACAATTGGGTTGGTAGACAGAAGAGACTGAGAAAATAATTTCTCCTTTGTCCTATCCTTAATTTCCCCTCTTTGTCAAGTATTCTGAATTTATGGAAGTAATCCATTGGATATCACAGACAAATTATAGAACAGATCCAGACCAATCAGTCTCCTGGTTCAAGGAACTTCTCACACAATTGCTGCTGGTTCAAACCATAAATGAAAGTTTCAACTGACAAGGGAACAATCCAATAACTATTTAGCTGTACCAGGTCATGACAAACTCTGAAATGCTTTGCACCAAGATTGGAAACTATATTCCACATCAGGTACTGGCGATCTGCTCACCGACCCCCAGACCTTCAAACATTAGAAGCAGTAGCATAGTAAGACAGAACATTCAGGGCAGGTATCTGAAGAATATTAATCCCGTTCCCCACCCTCCCTCTCAAATTTGGATGGGATCTGGCAGGCAATTCAGTTGCTGCATCAGCAGCCACACCACCCTGTGGAGTCTACTGACCTCTAATCCTAGAATCGTGGCATCCCTTCCTGAATGGAAAAAGATCCATGGTGACAACAAATAGGGAAACAGAAAATGAACTAAAATCGCATCCCGCTGGCAAGGCTCAATCCCACGAGGGCATGAAAAAAAGGAGTACTATTGAAGACACAGCCAAACCCGAAATATTTGGATCATCACATTTACTGTGCATATATATAAAACCATTTTCAAAATAAAGACAGCTCACACAAGTCCCCTGGTACACTAATTTACAGGTTTATATTTTTTCTATTGAAATTTATACACATGGTGCTTGGTCTTCCCGCAAGTTGGCTGTCTTCTTGCATTCGGTCACAATTGTCTTCAGCATTAAGTATCCTCAATTCCCAACTTCAAAGAGCTTATCTAAACTGTGAACCACAGTCCCAGTATGAATCCTTAGTTCGGACATATAAAAGTTTGAGGATGTGAAAATAATGATTTTAAATTAAATGACTTTCTTCATACCCATAAGACAGAATCCAAACCTGAAAAATGTGAAGATTTTGATTTGATTCACTCTTACCCTTATAAAGTGAAGCTCTCATCTGTGAGAATTTTGAATCAAAATGTCCAGAGCTTTGAGTTAAATGTCCACAGATTTCAGACAATCTAGGTCATCTCCCTTAGTAGATAGCAGTCAATGGAAAAGCTTCCATTCATTTGCATATATGTAGTAAGTAAGGTTGGCAAGTTGCTGTGACAGATAACCACGTTGAAATATAATGTCAAAGTAATAACAAGAGACCTGGTTCAAAAAAGGGCTGCCTGGGCACCAAATATTCCGGGATACACAAGCTGTTTAGCAAAGAAAACAGGAAGGGTGGCAACAGTGATTAAGGAGAATACTGGTGTGTTAGAGGGAGAGAGGATGAATGTAAGTCCCGGAGAGGTCAAGTTCAGAATCTATTTGGTGCTACAAAGCCACATTATATTTAATACTGCTTGGAGGACTTAAGTTTTAAAGGTTTGCAGAAAATGGATTTATTTCAATCTTTGTGGAAATACCTTTAAAAGAGGTCATTGGAAATCTTTGGAGATCTAGCTCTGGGAATGAGGTGGGTCAAATGGATCAAATGTTAGTCACATCTAATGGAATATTGAGGAGATAGTGATCCCAGTACCAGGGGCTCCTGATTTTGTCCTTTTACTTACTACACACATTCTACTCAGCATCCACAGTTGATTATTATCCCCTTGTTGTTCCTATTGCCCAAGTTTCTGTACGTGGCTAGTCTCACAACTCTCCTGTAGATTCTTCCTTTCAGTTTCAGCAATACATTTCTATTACATAAGTCTCCATTGCACTTCTTCCAATTACTCTAACCAGAAATAATCTGTGACTTCCTTGTACGTGAAAAATCTATCTAACTCTGCCCTAAGTATATTTAATGACCCAGTCTTCACTACTCGCTGGGGTGATGAATTTCAAAGATGAATGATCCTCAGAGAAGAAATTCTCCCTGACATATAGCAGCTAAAATTTAATGTAGGATAAGTGTAAAGTGATTCATTTTGATTGGAAAAACAAGGAGATAAAACAAAGGACAAAATTTTCAAAGGGATAGAGGATCAGAGGAACATGGAATATATGTATACAAATAATTAAAAGTGGCAGGGCAAGTTAAGAAAGTGCTGAATAAGATGTACAGAATCCTGGGTGTTACAAACAGAGTTCAAAAGCGAGGAGTTGTAGTGATTATATTGAATAGTAATTTCAACATTTAGTAAGAAAGCGTAGTTGTAGATTTACAATTCAAAAGAAGCAGATGGGCAACATACACTTGTTAGCAGATATAAAAGACAGTGACAGAGAAGGTTTGAAGGCTACATGTGAGATGGGCAACACCTAGACAAGATGACAAGGGTCTAGCATAAGAGTATCCCCCTCAGATATGAGAGCAATATTCAAATCTTGGATGGCTCCAACTTGAAGTAAATATATCAAACACATCCTTAGAATATCAGAGGGGTCAAACTTTTGCCAGTGTGTGTTAATTTTCTAAGTTTTTTTTATTCCTCCCAGCTCAGATAATCTATGTGTATTGCCCATGGAAGATGGCCGCACTTAAGTTCACTCTTAGTGGCCTACAGTTAAAAGGCGGACAAATCAGAGACAATGCCTAGCCGCTGTTCATCGGGTGCCCTTGGTGATTTGACTGGGATGGAGAGGTCATTGTTTTAAGTCTAGTCTAGCCCACACAATGTCCTATCAGTCTATGATCACAAGTACATCAACACAGTGAATGCATTAAAATTCATACAGGCAACATACATACCTGTACTTCATTTGTTTTCTGTCGGATGGCCTCTTCTTTCTCTCGGATGTCCTGTTCCAATATATATTTCTCCCTGTAACAAACATACCATCAAGCATTCTATATACCCATTAACACATATAACAAAAGGATACCTGTTTGAAAAGAATACACAATAGAGAAACAAGATACACAGGTTAAATGACAGACAAGGAAGACTCAATAACTTAAAAACAAATATATTTCAGAAATTCGGATTGTGAAAACTAAGATCAATAAATCTATTAATTGTTGAAATGGCATCTGAAACTAATTGTAAAAGCGTCCAAATGCTTCAGAAAATAACAGCAACAATTTGGCAAAACCGAACAGCTTTGAAAATGGAATCCTATTTAACAAAACTATTAAGAAGTTTTTGAGTTTGTAACTAGCAGGGTAACTAAGGTGAGGGCCCAATGATCGTAGTAAATTAGAATTTTAGAAGACATTTGATAAAATGTCACAAAAGAAGTTGTTAAAATGATAAGGGATTGGGGTAATATGCATGAATGGTGGATTGGTTAAAATACAGAGAACAGAGTAGGGATAAATAGCTTATTTTTGAGATGCAGAACGCAACAAGGATCAGTGCTTGCTTCTCGGCTAACAATTTATAGAAATTATCATGAGGGCAACTTCCACAAATTTTCTGATGATATAAAGCTAAGTGGAAAAGCAAACTGCGAGAAGATAGAAGTTGCAAAGGGGAACAGACTGGTTAGATTATTGATCAAGAAGATAGAGCATAATGAGGGAAAGTACAAAATTATTTGCAAGATTACTTTTTTAAAAGGTGAGAAGCTAATAAATATTGAGATCTGAAAATTCTTGTGAGTAACAGAAAGTTATTATACAGACACAGCAATTAGAAAGGCTGGTAATTCAGGCTACAACTAGAACATAGAACTGTACAGCACAGGAACGAGCCCTTTGGTCCACAATGCTGTGCCAAGCATGACACCAAATAAAACCAATCCCTTTTGCCTGACCTTGGTCCATATCCCTCTATTCTTTGCATATTCAAGTGCTGATCTAAAAGTTCCTTAAATGCCTTTATTGTGTCTGTCTCCACGGCCACTCCTGGCAATGCATTCCAGACTCCTACCACTCTGTGTAAAAAAAACTTGCCCCTCACGTCTCCTTTGAACTTTCCCTCTCTCACCTTAAATGCATGCCCCCTAGTTTTAGACACTTCAACTCTGAGAAAAAGATTCTGACCGTCAACTCACTCGATGCATCTCATAATTTTATAGACTTCTGTCAAGTCTCCCCTCAGCCTGTGTCACTCCAGAGAAAACAGCCTGAGTTTTTCTAGCCTTTCCTCATAGTTCATACCCTCTAATCCAGGCAGCATCCTGGTAAACCTCTTCTGCACCCTCTCCAAAGCTTCCACATCCTTTCTGTAATGAGGCTAGCAGAATTGAATGCAATACTAGCATGGCCTAACCAAATTCTTATAAAGCTGTAAGATGACATCCTGACTCTTGTACTCAATTCTCTGAACAATAAAGACAACCATGCCATAGGCCTTCTTTAACACCCTACCTACTTGTGTGGCCACTTTGAGAGAGCTATGTACTTAAACACTAAGATCCTTCTGTACATCAATGCTGTCCTGCTATTAACTGTACAACTGGTAGGTTAACTTTTACTGAAAAGGGGTTGAAGTAAAACAGGAAGGAAGTTTTGCCACAATTACTTAGGCTTTTGATAACACAAAATGCTGCATACATCTTTGGTCTCCTTGCCTATAGAAGGATGTACTTGCCTTAGAATGCACTAAAGATTTCTTGGAGAAAGTGACTCTCATTCAGGGTGAGACTGAACAGACTAGGCTTGTATTGCTTAGAATTTAAAAGAATCAAAAGTGGTATCACTGAAACATGAAATTATCAACAGACTTAACAAGGCAGATGCTGAATAAAGAGTCTGAAACCTGGAGGTTGTTGTATCAGAGTAAGGAATTTGCCAGTGGTAGAGGTAAGTAAAATTACATTTTAAAGACATTTGGACAGGTACATGAATAGGAAAGGTTTAAAGGAATATAGACTAAATGCAGGCAAATGGGACCAGTTCAGTTTAGGATACGAGTTAGATCAAAGGGTCTATTTCCTTGCTGTGACTTTGTGACTTTATGAGGAGAACATCTTTACATCTGTGGTGCTGTGAATTTTTAGAATTCGCTAAATACAGAGCTATGGATTCTTCATGTTGAATATATGAGGTCAATAGATTTTTGGGCACGAAGAGAATAAAGGATATGGCATGAAAAGTAGAGATGAAATTTACAGTTGATGTAGTTCACCCTGAAAATTTTGAATAGCTGAGGTAGTTTAGTCTGGATCTTTTGAATGGGAAGCAGGTTTTTGCACCTGCTCCTACCAAGAAAAAGAATGGATCACCCTGACCTGATCTAGTCGACATATAATGTTAGTTTCTCAGTATTTGCTAGTGCTGAATGATTTTGCACAACAAGGAATGGCTTTTCCAATGTCATTCACATCCAAAGAATAAGTCACTCGTGGAAAAATTTAGTGACTGATGATTCTACTGGGCAGAAGCATTGCACGATTAACAGTGTTAGCAATATCCCATAAAACTATTCCACACAAAAACTGCTGCAAATGTACATCTTCAACTGGTGAAACTACCCTTAAGTGTCCATGACATGGCAATGGGTACATGTGGTGTTGCGCAGTTCTGGCATAAGGTTGACTGTAAGATAATACACCAAAAGGAAATTGGAAGTCAATCCACTGAGTTAGGCATAGGACACCAATGGCTGAAAAGTCCTCAAGTAGTACAAACTAACCAATTTGACCCAAGATTTGGAGGGATAGACCTGTCACTGGGGCTGAGATTTTTACCACTCAGCTGTCGATAACTCTACAGGTCAATGCCTCAATGCAGTACGCCTGATGAAGAATTAGCAACAGGTTTACAAGTGCATATGCTGGTGAATTGCAGTTATAACTAACTCCTCCAGCACCCCTAAATGGAGTGATGATTGCATTACGTCTTTGAACCTAGTTAAGTGGATTTGTTATTAGGCAAACGTGCATAAACCTGAATGTGTGTATGTATGTAGGTGGGTGGGTGTGGTTCAGTTCCACACTAATCTAGTCACCATGGGAGCTACTTATTTGACATTTAGCCACTCACTTTTAATGATGCACTCCAGAATACAATTGGGTATGCTCAAATTAGCATTTCAAAACAGAAGGCAATGAAAAAACATGTTTGTTTCCAGAGTGCAAACATGGCACCTACTGTGGGTCATGTGGTTCACACCACACTGAAACACAAGAGCAGCACAGTCACTTGTGGTTTCTGTGGTTTTGAAGCTCATAGAACTCATTTACAAGAAACTCTATATGAACCATATATAACTACCAATCACTAGAATCCAGTCATGGTATTTTAAAATTAAAAACATTTCTCAACTGAAATGAACACTCGTTGGCTGTAGTTCCACCAGTCAGGGTCAGCTCAAAATTTTCAGAGTTTCCAAGAGGTATAGTGCATACAACTAAGGATTAGGTCTGGCTGCCTCAGCAGTAAACTGTAGGTGTTGGCTGTGACTGTCAACCTCCTTCTGAACAGTCCTTCAGTAACTTGAAGATTGCCTGGTGCTGTGGATGGTAATGTTGAGAACAGATGAGCTTACTTAGGAGTTGACTGGGCCATTAGTTCGTTCAAACCCAACTTCACATTGATGCTAAGCGCTTCCAGACTCGCACCTATTTCACTCTAAGCAGCAAGAAGATACTCTTTCATACTGCAGTACAACTCAACAAACATGCAAACTCACAAGAAACACATATATTCCAGCATATAATGCATGATTACTTTCAGAGCAGCAAAAAACATCTTTAAACCTCATGAGGCCCAATTGTAATCTCCCGTGTTCATCCCTGTTAGTTTATAACGCCAGTGATTATGATATTTGCTGGTGCATTAGCTGTTGACCAGGATACTATTTGACATTTCCACTAAAATAAATGGAACTGCACAATGTCTCCAGCGGATGTATAGTTGCCTATTTCTAACAGGCCTTTGAGGACAGTTATGAGTCAACCACATTGCTGTGCATCTGGAGTCACATGCAGACCACAGCAAGCATGGATCACAGATTTCCTTCTGCAAAGGAAATTACATGCATTCCAGGGTGTACCAGGATCCAACAGAGCAACTTTGGGGGCACGCAGAATTTTTAATGCAGGGTCATGGTGCCTCTAATACATTGCCGGCTGCCACACATATTTGACCTTTCATACACAAAGAATGATCATTTTGTTAATAAACATGCACTTGTAACAAATGAAGTGGAGTGTGTTGGAGAAGATGAGTGAAACACTTCGTGCTCACCTGCACCCTGACCAAGAACCTCTAACTTTGAGTCAGATTTCAAACAAGTCAAGGTCACTGAGCAGTAATGTGCTTCTCTGCTACACGAACCAAAGATTTCAGTGTGATTCCAGCATTGTGTTATGTAGCATTTACAACAATTTGGGCTGATCTGATTTTCAAGTTCTCTACATCTGCAATCACTCCCTCTTCTGACTAATGTAAATACTACAGTTTTCCTTTTCCTGATTGGATCATACTGGTGAACATACATTGTCTTCAAAATTGAATAATTCCTGGCATTTATGAGTAATATCTGATTTAAAGTAAACAGTAAACAAAATCTCTGATATGCTGATCTTCCTCCACCAAACCTTAATACTTTCTTTCATGTACAATACACAAGAATCACATGCAAACAAAACTATGTGTTTACTTTAGGTAAACAATACTGCATGCATCAAGCTCCTGAAGGTGATTTTGCAAAGTTTATGGTTGCATTCATTTTACGTTTTGAATACTTTTTGCATAGCTTTAAGCCAAAAAAAGTGCATAAAAATACATGTCTTTATGGATTGTCTTGAAAGCAAAACAACTCACGATGTCTAAAACCTTAGGCTTTACCTATAAATTGATCAAAGGAATAAGGTTGTTTAAGGTTTTAGCAAAGATTTATAGCTCAGGTTGTGGGTGAGGCTGTTGATTTGC